TTTACCATTTTACCAATTATTCAATTTAGACCAAGGTACATTATGCAAACCCAGGGTTGAGCTTCCTTTCCATTTTGTGATCTATGACAAAGACTGGAATTCCAATTATTAATAATGGAGGAGCTATAATTATTCTAAGGATGGTACAAGATAATTATAAGCCGTAAAACCAGCTTTCATATGCATACAAAATTCTCTCTGCACGTCTAGCAGAACCAAAACCTATCAGCAGACTAGAGCTACGCCAAAGTTGAAGACAAAGAGCCCCCATCTAGAGCTATGAAGCTCATAGATCATGAGTGCAAAGCCACAGCTGATGGTGCAAGGCAGAAGCAGCCAGCTGCCCAGTTCTGCCAGACAGACAGGGGCTGATTCAGGTCATCCCAACTAGCTGCAGTCTGCGAGGGCTGCAGGAGCCATCACAAGGAGAGCAGGCTGGTGGCTCTGCTTCACTTCAGACCATCATCCCTCTGACCTGTGGCCCACGTTGCAGGTACGTGGATGAATCGTCTGCGTTTAAGGTCCTTTTGATACATCCATCTTACCCAACAAGAGACACCAGAGCTTTGCATTAGTCCCAGCACCTTTAAATAAGATCCAAAACCTTCTGAACAAAAGAGTCATAGTGAGATTTGCAGCCCAGGCTGCAAAACTTTCAAGTTCTTGCCATCTACACTCCCAAAACTCAAGGTTTGTCTTACACTGACCAACATCCCTGTGGCCTTTAGAAAAAAACCCTCCTGCCTTGGACTTGGACAGCTGTTATCAGAGCAGATTTCTCCCATCATTACCCAGCAAATATGATTTGCTAAGCAACACACTCTCCCAATTAAGGCCAGAGCAGCACTGGTTACTACGTGGAGCTGCAGCTTTGCAGCCACGGCTGCTAAATTGCTTTGTATTGTGAACAGAGACACCTTGAAGGGAGAACACACCAAGGCCAGAGCCTCCTGCCAGCCATGGTGCCAGTGGGGGGTGGCTGCTGCCAGAGATAACTCCAGCACAGCCTCTCTCCTGGCACAGCAGTGTTTGTAGGCTGAACCAAGGAGACCATCTGCAGCTTGAAGTACAGATTTTAGCCTGGTGCTTGTCCCTAACTGGTGGTGTGGATGGGAGCAGAGCAGAGCTCTGAGCCAGGCAGGGAGCTGGAGAGGGGGAATTTGTCCTTCCTTCAACACACATCATTAACCACTGGCTGCTCCAGGAGGAAGACACTGCACTGAGTCCTTCTTCTGTCCCTTTTCCCACTTGCACCACTTGACCTTGGACACAAGGATGAAGCTCACCCTTCCTCTCCACACAGTGAGAAAGCCAAGCTCTGGGTCCATCTCACAGAGGCACAACCTGCCTGCTGCACATGAGGACACAAGGGCCAGTAAAGTGTCCAGAAAGGGGGATGAAAGGAGGGGAGTGAGCTGTTCTGCTCCTGCTTGCCTGTGGGGAGATGGTTGCAGGTCCCTTCCAGCAGCTGGTGGCTGGTGGGAACAGGTGGTGAAGGCGAAGGCTGATACTGCTCAGCACTCAATCGTTCCCGTTAGTAGCTTTATGAATGGCAGCCAAAAAGTGCCATAATTGCTGCAGTGATGTCTGCTAATGACTCAAGTTGGATCTGGCAAGAAGTCAAAGGCAAGAGAAAAGAAGAAAAATAGCAGAATCAACATATGAATACCTGCCTTTGACCACTGCAGGAGAGCAGAGCAAGTCCAACTTGGGACCTGAAGCGATGGACAGGCAGAACCCAAGCGTGATGAGCAGGGAGCAGCCTGTTCCCTGCCCTCCCTCGGGAAGAGAAACAAAAGGGAAGAGGGAAGACAAAAACAAACCCAAATTTTCCAGTTAGTTCAAGATCCCTGTTCTTGGGGCACTCAGGTGACCCACCTCACGGATGCCACCTTTCTGCTCCAAAATCACCTTAAGCCAGGGCAGGATGAGCCCTCGGGAAAGCAGAGTAACTCAGCCTGGTGGGGACTCAGCATCACCCCGGCACGTGCGTCGGGACCACCAGCCCTCAGGCCACGGCTCCCTCGGAGCTGCTGCTGTGGCCAGGGGAGAGTTGTTCTCAAGGAAGAATCCAGGCTGTCATGAGCAAACAGCCTGCTCCTCCTGACTCTGTATCTGTTTCTGAATGTTAACAAACAGTCTGCAGCATCTGATTGAGTGGGTTATTAGCAGAATGAAGACAGATGGTGCAGGATTAACTCTAAAGCGTCTTTATTGCGAGGCCATCGTTACCGACAGCTCTGCCTCTCCCCCCTCCCTCTGCAACTGTCACCAGCTGAATTTCACCCTACAACTCACAGCCACCACCACAGTGATCCCAGCACGCAGCCAAGACACTCATCAATTACAGGAAAGGGAGAAGATTAGAGCAGCCATGCTGGAGCAGTTCCTGCCTCCTCCCCAGCCCCCTGTGCCCCCAAAGTGTGCCCACACCCAGCACCCTTACGGGGGGTTCACAAGGGCAACAGAGCAAGAAGCAATCGTGGCAGTGCCAGCTGCAGGGAGAGCATCCAAATCATTTCTGTCTTGCACATCACCAGCAGTTCAGGCTGTACTCTTGCCTTGCAGCTGGGAAAGACACCGACACCTCACACTGACCCTTTATTCCATGATACAGGCTGATAGATGCAGACACGAGGAGCTGGTCTGTGTTAACTAACATGGACAGAGGGGAGTTCTCAGACACTTCTTCTGGCTTCTCACCCTGGAGAACAGCTCGGGCAGAAAAGCCTGCATCTGCAATCAATTGTGTTATGGGCATCCATCACTTGCCAACTGGTAAACAAACTTCATACTACCAAAGCCCCTTGCTGTGCATGGCCAAAGAGCATCTGTGTCACAACGTTTGTTTCACCCTGCTGGGAGAGGTTGCCACATTGGTCTACACGTGTCCAGTCTGGATCTTCTACTCTACAAAAGCCAAGAGAAAAACTTTGCCAGCACCAAGTGATTCCTCCATGCTGACAAGGCCTTCAAGTTCTCTTGTGCTTCTCTACCTACAAGTGCATTTTGTAGATGTCTCTGTTAAGTGTCAGCAAGGTCCTAATGATCTCTGTAATTACCCATTTTCACTACAACGTAGACCCCACACCTCATAATTACCTGATTGCCCCAACTGCCTACCTCTGCTTTCAGTACCTCCAGCTACCCTGTAATTATTAATAGGGCTATTCATTAGCACCATTGTGCAATAAAAAGAGGAAAAAACTCTCAGTTGGCAAAAATATTAAAAGGAAAGCTGTCTGTCTCATTCACTCTGCAAGGTAATTGGCCCAAAGAGTCTGGCTCAGGCACTTGGGGCAGGAAATACCTTTGCTGCACCTCTCTAGATGACCAGACATCTGAAACCCCCCTTGGCTCACACACCACACACTGTGGACCTGCGCTCAAATCCACCAAAACCAGGCCTGCAACTGTCATCCAGAACCACCTCGAGTGAAAACACAAGTCCTAGGTGGTCTTTGTAGCCATGGAAATCCCCTGACTTTGTTTTTTGGCAGACTGTACCTTTAAGCATAACTATGGTCCTGCAGCCTGCAGGGCCAGAAGCTCGCTGCCTGCACAGTGCCAGGCAGGCACACTTTGTTCCCTTTCCCACACAAAGGCTTTACTTTTGGCTTTTCATGTTCCTTTGTTCTCTCCACACAAAGCTGTGTTCAGCCTGAAAAAGGAGGGCTCACGCTGTAGGCAGACACGGGCTTTGAATCCACCAGGGGAACAGGAGCTTCTGTGAGCGACCCCAAAGGATTGGCAGGTCCTGCTGGCTCTTGGACACCCTGTGAGCACCCCTTGGGTGCTGCTGCCCAGCACAGGGATGCCAAAAGCAGCATCTCCAACAGCTTGGAAGAACAGGAAGGTACTGAGAATTTTCACCTTCTCACAGCACTCGGACAAGACTCTGCCACCCACTCACACAAGGGGCAGCCCCTTTCCCCAAAGAAACTACTCTAATCAATGTTTAAAAAGCAGGTGGTAATTAACAAGCATGAGATGAAGTCTTGTGAAGTATTTTCCCCATGTTACCAGCTCAGTATCTGGGCTCCTGGGAAAATGAAAGAACCTTTGATCTTCTAACTGATTTTTGAGCCATGAACTTGCCTCTGCAAGAGCTCTGCCCTCTGAAAGCTGATGCACCTTTTACTCATGTGAAGACATGGCTTCCTGCAAGAGCAGACACCCCTGTGGCTTTCTGCTGAGCAACACAGCATGCCTGAAAGCTCAATAAGGCACAGCAGGATGAAATAATTCCCAATCAAAGCTCAAAACAAGGACTAAACTCATGTTTGGATCAGGTTTGCAGTCCCCTGATTCATCTCACAGCAGCTAAACTTTCCTTGACACACCCTCAAGACTCTCATGGGGCTCTGGGACCTTTAATCTCTTCTCTGATCCAGCATTAACTGCTGCACCAGTGTTTGCTTCAGAAGGATAAGCCAAGCAACGAAGTTACCAGAACCAAGGATGTCAGTTCTTCTCAGTAGAAATATAGTTTTTGTTTAGTTATTATGCTTCATAATTATTTATTATATTTCTATGGATTAATCAATGTTGGGGAATGACTAGAATATAAACAGAGAAATTTAGAGAGATTTCTGCCAGAGTGCAGGGGTTTGATGGTTTGATGAACAACAGAACAGCTCCTCTGAGGGCTGCAAAGGCACTGAAAACCAGTCTTCTGAAGAACTTCTGAGGAACTACCACCCAACCAGAGTAAAGAGATTCAGGAATTGGTTGAAGAACTTCCCAGGTGACAGAACCTTTCCATGGGAAAAAGATGGTGAATTTTGGATGCATGGAACCAATAAGCTCCTGCTCTTCCCTTGCAGCTTCATGCAACTTCATACATCCACACCTACTAAGATGTTTCAGAGATTGAAGGAGAAGCAGGATTTTCTCCTTGGTGTGGACAAGAGCCTAGCACATTCCTAGTGGTGGAACATCCATGCCCCTTGCAGTAGGATGGCTAAAGAGGAAGAATAACAGGTGAGGGAACTGCTCACCTTCAGTCATCCTGCGGAACTTCTCCTTGTACATGAACCCCAGTACTAGGCAGCATCCTCTTCCTGGGAGCCCCAGTTCTGCAAGAGAGGAGAGAGCCACGTTAGATGAGCAGGCTGAGGACAAGAGCAGGCACAGAGGGATGCTGCAAGGAGCAAACCCTGTGGGTTACACCACCCAGGCACATCACTGAAGTCTTGGGTCAGCCTCACGGAGCTCAGCTGTGCTGGGGATCTCATGACAACTTCCAGCTGCTGTTGCACTGCTCCACTCAGCCACAGGTATCTACGGACAGGAGGGTCACCATGGAGAAGGGTCTGGAGCACAAGTCTGCAGAGGAGCAGCTGAGGGAACTGAGGGTGTTCAGCCTGGACAAAAGGAGGTTGAGGGGAGACCTTCTCCCTCTCTGCAACTACCTGAAAGGAAGCTGGAGTGAGGGGGGGTGTTGGTCTCTTCTCCCAGTCAACAAGCAATAGAACAGGGAGAAATGGCCTCAAGTTGTGCCAAGGGAGGTTTAGATTAGATATTGAGAACAATTTATTTCCCCAAAGGGCTATCAGGCCCTGGCACAGGCTGCCCAGAGCAGTGGTGGCATCACCATCCCTGGAGGGGATTTAAACACTGTGTAGATGTGGTGCTGAGGGACATGGGTTAGTGGTGGCCTTGGCAGGGTTGGGTTAACAGTTGAACTTGATGGTCTGAAAAGCCTTTTCCAAGCAAAATTATCATAATTCTATGATTTTATCCCCACCCGGGCCCTTCTAAGTGCTCCTCCCTGCTAAGCAGAGGGAACGAGCTGCATCTTCATCCCCATCAGTGTGTTGCAACAACATGGACTCTCTAATCCCTTTCTCCTCCAGCAGGCAGCACAGCAAAATGGGGACCAGCCCTCAGAGGGGAAGGTAAGTCTGGCTTGAGGCATCTTGCTCTTTAGAAGCAAGGAAGTGCCCCTACAAGCATCCAAGTGCCAGAGTCAGAGGCAGCACATGCCTTTGATGCCTTGATTTCTTAATGGGGCTTTTCTGGCTCTCAGTAACAAACAGTGAGATCTGAGCAGGGGTTTTCCAGACTCTCTCCATGTGCATCTCGGAGCAGCAAAAAGCTCCAGTTCTTCAAACAAATTCTCCTCAGTCACAGCAGAGAAAATTAAGGTACCATGTCCCCAGTGCTGCCTGCTTGTGGACCTGCAGAGCTCCTGAGGGGCTTCTGTGCTTTGCAGAGCCCTGCTGATCAAAGCCCCTTTGATGTTTACTTAATGTGGCTGTGGTCTCTCCAGAGCCCCCTCTGCTGAGGAAGGAGCTCGCGAGTGTCACCAAGTTGTGCTGCACACAAGAGGGGAAGGCAGCAGAGCAGGAGGGTGTACAGTGACAACTTTAGAGCTTTCAGAGCTACACCGGGTTTGATTCCCAGATCTGGATCATGCCCAGAGGAAGAGGGAAGTCACTCACCACAGTGTGATGGGATGTGCAGGGCAGACACCCAGATCTATATGGGTATATAGTCAGATACACAGCATCCCTCAACAACACTGCTGTGGCATTCCAGCAGAGGGTTTAGCATCCTCCTCTTGTGCACCATGAGGCAGAATCAGAGCCTAAACCCAGAGAAACCAAACTTATTTTGGCCCTGGGACATTTAGGGTACACACAAGACTAGTTAAAGCACTTTCTCTAACACTAAACAGGGCTCCACCTTGCAAAAGACTAACATCTGAAGGTTCCCATCAGGGAGGACAAAACACCTAATGACAATAAAAGACACATGTAATCCCACTGAAGTCAGTGCTCAGACAAAAGTAAGTCTTTTGAGATGCTAAGAATAAGCTGAGATTTAATTCCCCCCCTAAATCCACAATGCTACCTAGGGTAGTGCCCTGGAGAGAAACAGGCATCTCCAGAAAGTGACCCATTTCTTTGGGGGTGCCTGTAACTCTCTCATTGCCCATAAAAGGTGGTGACTAAGTCAGATGCAGATGTCTAAAGATCAGAAAAATCAGGGCAGATGAATCAACTATCTGCATCCTCAGCTGTTTCTTGAACCCAGAGTGTTAATCAACAAGACAGAGGTAAACACCAGCCATCTCCCATCTTGGATGCAAAGGTGGAAATCAGCCCTTCTGTTCCACAGTAGAGGTGACATGATTATATCCCACCACAACAAGTGCAAATACACCACAAAAGGTGTTGATTTGATGTCTCTAATACTCCTGGCTACTGCCAGTGTCTGCTGCTTTAGCTGAAGGCCATTCAGCACCATTGCCTCCCTTGCCACTGCCTGACAACAAGACTCTAGAAGATGCTGAACTGTGAGTGGGGTTTCCACAAAGGGCTGTGTGATGCCTGTGAAAACCCACATCCCACATGCATGTGGCCAGATGGCTGCAAGCCCAAGTGAGGCTCTGGGGCTGCTTACACAGAGCCTGCAAAGCAGGCAAGAGGTTTGTGTCTTTATTGATAGGAAAGCAAAATGGCATAGATTCCTATTGAGCCTTCAACAAGCACCAAGGTATCAAAGCGTAATTAAAACAACACAATTAGATTAGTGTCACACCAGGCAGAGCAGCCCACAGTGGAGCTGAGCAACCCAGTGCTCCTGGCTCACTAATCCAGACATGCATCACACACCCCGGCACATGCACGGGGGCCAGTTTGGGGATGCCAGCTGAGTTTTTCCTAGACATGTAGACCTGGGATGACAGTGGTTGCCATGGTCTCCATCCACAAGAGCATCCTGAACCAAAGTAGAGTGGAGGAAGCAGTGATGGAGGCAGCAGCAATAGCTGCAGCTGCAGCTTGGGTGATGATACACTATTTGGGTGTCCTGCTCTCCCCTTCCAGTCTCCAATGCTTCCTGAGAAGGTGGTTTTAATATTTTAAAGGCTGGGACAAGGGGCTGTGACCCAAGGCAAGGACTGAGCTACCCAAGAGGTGCGAATCACCACGTCAGCCTTGTGGCAGGGAGGGGTGGTCAGGGCTGAATCCAGAGGAAATCTGGGTTAATACCTGTCTGGAGCCTGGCTCAGTGCTCACCAGGATGACTGTCTGTCTGCCATTTGCCTCCCTGAGGGGTGCTATAATTAATGCTTATAAAACACTTTGATATCTCATGATGAAAGGAGCTATCCAAGAGCACTGCATTACAATAATTCATACCATAAATTTGTGAGAACATGCAAAAATCTTTATAGCTAAAGGCACCTTTAAATACTTGAGAGGGCCTTTAAAAGGTAAAACACTTCAAGATGACTCTGATGCCTAAGGATGTCTCACCACTTCATGGTTTTTAGTGGCTACCTAAAGCTAAAATAGTTAAGCAGACACCCAGCATTTTAAATGTTTTGGCTTTAGGGGGGCTGCTGAGGTACTACTGAAAACAGAACACTTTAACCCATGCATGTCCTCCACTCCCAAAACTCCCACCTACTTCCCTGCAATGGCAATTGATTTTTACCAGCAGAGCAAAACTTGTTACAGTTGACATTTATCATCTCAGCTGCTTTGAGTAAGTGTGAACTTAGTCTTGTTTGGAATACACATGGCAGCAGCACGTTTTTTACTTCCTTGAGAGTACCTGCAGTAATTCACCTCAAAACCTGCAGATCAGAGGTTTTGAGACACAGCAGAAGCAAGTTCAAACCAGACGTTGCCAGCACGAGGGGCAGTTGGTGACAATGAAGCAAAAGCCAATTAAAAGAAACAAAGTTCATGGTCTTTGAGAAAGGGATCTTTATCTCCAGACTTGATCAAATTCGCTGAGAAGGAGAGACTTCTCCTGCAAGGATTTCCTTACTGAATTTCAAGGCAATTCCTCCAACCACAACTCAGGGAGGGAACCAAATTCCTGACCAACCAGTGCAGTAAAGGCTAAAGCTGCAAAGCAGTAATAAAGGTTTATTAACACAATCATGATGTGTACTATTGTGCAGCCATACTCCACCAGGAATGATAATAAATGTTTAATAGCCCAATAATACCTGGTTAATAATTTTCCAGCTCATCCTGTCTAATTGCAAGTTTATTAAAGAACGATAAACTTTATAATTGTTGTAAAAGCATAATTGCAATTCCATTGCTTATTTAATATTGAGTTAATTATATTACAAACTAAGTTATATTTTCCCATACATATTAAATATCAATTAGCTGTTTTAAACTATTGATTTGTATTTAATTAACTATGCTATTATATACCAATTAAACTCTTATAAGAGAAGCAGAAACAGCTGGTCTCTTAAATTAAATTTTAAAAACTTTGTATTAACATCAAGATCACGTTTCCATTTTCTCATGTTTTCCTTCTACAGAGATGGCAATTTGTTATCTGTAAATATTTTTCCAATTACATGTTATGTGCATGAGCTTCATTCTGAACATTTTCTTTTCATCATGGGGAAGGGATAACGTCCATGACAGATAATTTGGTGTCAGTTACACCAAAACCCAGGGACTGGGACAGACAGAGGGCTGGAAAAGCCCCAACTCACCTGGGAATCTCAGAAGCAACAATCTTGGGTGGTAGCTCTTGAAAGAGCATGAAAGTCTCCAAGGAGGAAGCTCAAGAACTTCCTCTCTGTTTCTAAGTTGGCCAACAAGAGAACAGGAGAATATGAAAAGCTCCTACACCACGAAATCCAAGAGTTTTGGATCACTTAAAAACACTTTGGTTGAAAGACCTCATGTTCCTGCTTAGCAGCTTCCTGTCCTGATGGATAAAACCACCTGCAGTTGGATATCTTGCTAAAGAAACACATTACCAACTGAAGAGACCAAGTTCCCAGATCTTTTTCCATGTTCTTGGCTTCTCTGTATCTAGAAACAATGCATCCCCAAAGTTAGAAATGTGTGAAGGATCATTTTCTTTTTCAGCATCCTAGTTTCCAGTTCCATCTTGCTCTTCTTGTGCAGATTTCCTAAACACCCCTGTGACCTCTTCTTCAGAGGACTTTGCTCTGGGCACCCATAGAGCAAGTTGTATCCTTCCCTTCCAAGCTCTCCTTCTGCCATGAGTGCTGGATTCCAGCTTCCTGCCTGGCTGTTTTTGCATCCACAAACACTACTGAGCATCCAAACTCCCAAATCTTGGAAAACGAGCAAATGGATCCTTCATCACCTAATTTCTATATTGCACCATCAAGTTTGTAGAGCAAGCCAAGATCCTCAGAGATTAAAAAAGCTATACAAATGCAAGTTATTATTAAATCTATGCCTGGGTAATTTATAAAAGTATATATATATATAAAAAAACTAAGAGGTTTCCCAGATGAGAAAATGGGCACATTATTGTTTGAAATATGGATGAACCAGAGATCAGTCTTAAATGCTGTAGTGATGTTGTATTTTATTCTATAGCACTCTGCAGAAGAGTTGCATTTATAAACCCATTTATTGTGTTATGTACTTACAAACCACCTTGTCATCCATTTATTGCACAAATAAAATCTTAAAAGCAGAAGATTAGTTGAGTATGTCCCTGTGGGATTACAATCTGACTTTAAAGAATCCATCAATGAAGGAAAACAGATGGAGCAGAGGTGTTTGCCAGCTCACTGCTCCAAGATGGAAAACCCAGCTGTACAGAAGGACTGTTCACTGATGGGCCATGGACCTGGAAGTCCTGTTGGTATTAAAGAGGGAAGGCACAAAGGGCAGAGCTTGCAGAAACCAGACACCCATCAGGCACCAGTTCTGGCCAAAGACTTTAGAGCAGTCTTGCCACCACACAGGGGTGAAGGCCACCTTGGGGAGGACTGATCAGCTTTGCATGGCAAAGGAGAACTCCCTGAAATTACAACCTTGTCAAGCACCTCTGTTAAGACCTAAATTTGCCTTGAACGATGCTGGAGAGGCTTGTATCTGCAGCTCAAAGAGCAGCATTCCCCCAGTGCTGTCTTCCCTGGTGATGAAGGGTGGAGGTCTTAAAACTTCTATCAAATATTCTTTTGGGTTAAAAACTGTACTGGAAAACTTGGGTGTCCTTATTTTTACTGAGTCTGTTTCAACCCAGCTTAAAAAACAGAGCCATCCATGACCCAGGATGAAGTTCTCCGGGGCAAACAGCTTTGGACAACCATGTCTGGAATATCACAGTACACTGGCACCCAGCTGTCCAGGCTGCCCTGAAAGCCATCCACATCAAAAGCTTCAAGAGGACGATGAGAGAAGCCAGGCAGAAAGCAGCTCTTTCCAAGAATGAGCTCTGCCCTGGCACCAGACAATTCAAAGCTGCTTCTTAGCAGGAAACACAACCGGCAGAAGAGGAAAGAAAGAATAGGGATTCGTGCTGCTGAGCAAAGAACATTCTTTCCCTGTGCTCCCTGGCTAATGAAGGCAAAAAAGGCACCTCCAAGTAGTAACTCAGCACTGAAGTGTTTTGAAGAGCTTTTTTTTTCCTAGTGGCACCACAGAGCCCTTGGTCCCTAAAGTTCAGTACAGCAAATCTGTCTATTTCTCACTCTCCTCCCCAGCTCTCTGGTTGATGATCCTTTTCTGAACCTCCTACAAACCCTCCCTATTCGGAGAACATCCAGCAAGTGAAGAAGAATCCTTACAAACCTCAAATCCAGAGGTTCTCAGGATTTTACTTTTCCTTGCCCCAAAGCAAAACAGCCATGGAGGAAAACAATTTGCCCCAGGTTAAGGTGGCCTTAAGTACTTGACACTTTTTGCTCAAAATGCCTTCATGAGGAGATGCCCCAGAGCCTGGAAAAGCCCTAGACACCACAAGACATGGGGTCTGTGTGAAACTGGGGGGCTGCAAGGGGAGAGGTGTTTGGAAGATGGATTGAACCAGTCTAAGCTGGGATGAGCCTTCCTGCTCCATCTTCAGTGACTGCATGGGCATCAGGGTGTGCTCCTACATACCAGGAGGGACTGTTACTCTCTAAGATGATCCAAAATCTGAATGGAAAAAACTCACAACAAAACTGAAAGGAAGAAAAATACAAGACCCACTATATTTTGATTCCTTAAGAACATGATGTTTTCTCCAAAGACCTGATTTCATCCCCAGGCTCTCTGGTTTCTCATTTCATTGAAAGCCACTGCACTATTCCTTGTCCTGCTTCAAGACCCCTGCTGCATGTCCCATGGCAATCCAAGCAACATTAGCCACACACAGCACATCATTATCCTGAACCTGGTGGGACCATCTCATGTTGGAATAAACATCATCTTCTGTGCTCCCCTGGCACACAGAGAGCCATGGTTACATGCAGATCTAGAGATCTGCATAAAGCAGGAGCCGTAGCAGCCTCACACACCACCCAGACTGCCCCAGAACACCTCTGCACAACCATGAGGAGAACATGGCAATGGAACACTTTCCAGTGGAAGATCCCACCCTGGTCTGACAGACTGCGGACACACTGGAGAAAAAAAAACAACACAACAACAAAAAAACCCACTGCACTGTAAAGGTCACATCTGTTGTGGTGCTCTGGATCAACACCTCCTGTCTTGAATGTGCTTCTGGTTAAGTCATCCATTTTACAAGTCTGGGAAGACAGAGAGCAGTACAGGAAAGCACAAACCACTTCTACCCTTGGAAATATCCAGCAAGCCCAACTATCCTCTGCCTGACCTGAGTGAACATGGTCATGGCCTTCAAGCTCATCTGCCCCAGGTCTACCAGGTCCTCCTGCCTCAAATCTTTCAGAGCCCATTGCCCACATGCTGGCCACTCTTGGCAATAGCCCTGGCTCACCAAGACAGAGGAACTGTGGCCCTTTAATTCCCTCTGAATGCAGGGAAAGCACCGAAGCACAGTCATGCTCCCATTTGAAGATGGCAGGACAGTCATGAGCAGGGAACCCTGCGGTCCTTCTCTTACTGGGAAATCACACTGCAGCCTCACAAACACCATTCCCTCTGTGTATCTTTTAATTAAATTGTATTTGCTGGTTACCTCCCAGCACAGCTGCAATTCTTCTGCATCCGAGGCTTTTACTTTTTTTGTTGTTGTTGTTTTGGTCTGCACCTTAGTTTCTTTTTCCCCTCCCTGCCAACTCTCAGCAATTTCAGGAAACTCTTTAAGCTGCCTTCCCTCTCGTGAGGTGAGAAGGGGAAAGAGGCCTGCTGGGCAGCACCAGTCTGTGCTGTGCCATCTCCCCTTGGGCCAGCTGAAGGTCCTCAGTGATGTCAGCAAGTCACCTTGGGTCAGACCCTAAACCACAGGTGAACCCCGAATTCCTCCTTTGCTATTTCAGTCTCCCAGCAATTTGAAAGGGAGCTGAGGCACCTAAACATCTTGGGGAATCTAACTTGTGGTGGTGCTACCAAGCCATCACAGATGAGTAACTTGGCCAAGGGAGCAGCAATTTCAGATGAATCCCAGTTGGAGGTGTACTTGCTGCATTCCCTGCTCTTTCCTTTCCATTAAATCCTGCTTGAAGAGCATGCGGTGCCAAGATGGAGGGGAAAGAGGGAAAACAGGTCCCTACCCTCTGCTAAAGAACAAGGCACCAATTACAGAAAAGGGGAGAAAGCCACAAAATTCAAGGCATTATCTGACCATTACATTTCCATCCCTTTCTGCAGGAAGGCTTCTTTGATTGAGGTATTGAAGCTTTAGAGTGTGCTGGCAGGGAGGGCTTTGGCCACACTCAGCTGCAAAAGAAAGGAAAGTGAGTGGGCAAATTTCAGGCTGTGGGAGGCTGATTGCTGACCTGTCTAGACCACATTCCTTCAATGTCCTAGGGGTAGCAGATTCAGTCCCACCACAAGAAACAAATCCATCACCCAGACTGCCTAGAGATGCAAGCATCTTGCTCCAACAGCAGCTGCAGCTTCTCTTTGAGTCAGCACCAGTCGCTCTGCCTGGGTCAAGGGAAGACACTGAACACCCACACCACCAGCTGCAGGTTGCAGCTTTCATCCTGAATCTTTAATGCTGCAATATTCGCTTTGTCTTGTGACCACCCCTGCTCCCCTTTTAGAGCCTTATCTCTGAATTGGTCCTGCTGGCTTGATCTTCATGCTGTGAACACTTTGCTAGGGGTGCTCAGCAGCTCCAGCACGACAGGCTAGTGGCACGAGGCAAAAAACTTCCTCCACCTCCACAGATGCAAGTAGCACAGGTAGGAAAATAAACCAGGAAAAGAACCAAAACATTATAAGGGAAGGACTTGTCACCCTGCTCATGCCCCCGTGCAGCCCAAGGCACCCACGAGCCGCAGGGATCTCGGATTCCTCGTGACGTTCCTTAACCAAACGCAGCCCCAGCTCCGAGCCGAGGCCAACACACGCCTTTATGCACCTTCCCTGCCACTGCTCCTCCTCTCTGCTGCCCAACCTGGTAACTTACTGTTACCCACTGCCAGGGGCCCATTTTCCCAGCGTTGGCTGTAACTGGAATGATACGTGAGAAGAGCTCCCCTGCTTCCCTCAGCTCCACGTGCTGCTCCCGAGCTGCCCTCTTGCAATCCCATTAAAAGTAATGGGCTGAGATTGTCCAGCCCATTACTTCCAATGGCTGCGTTTCAGCCAGACAGCCCAAAGCTCCCATATCCTCCAACCAGAGTAGCTCCAAAACTCTCTGCTTCTTTATCACAACATGTATTCCAGCTTGCCAGAGTTTAATTGGAAAAAACAGCCAAACCTGCGTTTAGATTTGCTAATTGCTGCAGGAGAGACACAAATACTCCTTGCACTTCTTCCCTTGCTCAGCAATTCTTCTTTTTTCAAGGTGTGAGGTTTTACAATAGTCGAAGTTCTTTAAAAGAAACATATGGCAAGGCAGCCACTTTATGAAAGTACACTCCAAAATTCAGATGGTCTTGCTGGTGCTGGAGGGGAAGTGCTGATCCGGGAAGAGGTGGCTGGGGAGAAATACGGCTCTTGCAAAAAGCCAAGAGCAAATCAGATATTTCAGATGCATCACAGGAGCTGTAGTTCTGAGTACTTTTGAACTGTAAGGCCAGTAATACACTGAGGGCAGAGAGAGGCCAAAAATCAAAGCACTGATTCTAAGACAGTTTGATGTTAAAACAAGCTCAGAAATGGCCACATGGCCAAACACCTTTTCCTGGGGGCTGACCTGATTTCTGACCTCACCTTCTGCTCTGGCTTCATAAAAGCCTGGCAGAACATCACCATATAAACCATGTGCCCTCCTTACAGCTAGAGGAGGGACCCATTAGGAACGTACATAATGCTGTAGCCTGGAGACTGAAATAACACTCATCTCAGTAACTGGCCAAAAACATAGTGGAATTGCTGACTAGTTAAATGGTTGACAAAAGAGAAAACTCTCCCCACCACAACACACTAGAAAGTTGCTGAGATGACACTTACAGCCCAGTGATGGACGTTTTGAGCACAACACAGATTTTTCTTGCCTCTGACCTTAGGCAAAGAGAAGACTACAAAGCTGTACCTGTACCAAACCCATGCAAGCTCCTTGCAGATCCAACCTTGCGTTGCAACGCTGAGTTTCACTGCTGCTGCTTCAAAGATGTTAACATCTTGGTGCTCACAGCCCTGTCCAATCCAGGACAGATGGTAATAAATTTTTCAGTGGCTGGAGCAGAGTGCAGCAACTGTGTGATTAGCATCTTTTTCTCCACTGCACATTTCATCTGTAAACTAAGATTAAATACCTGGAGGAAAAAACCCACAGGAAAAGGGAACTTTAATATGTTTTCACTCCAGAGTTCACACCAGTGGGCAAACAGCTCAGACTGGTGACCAGGGGCAGCTTGTGTATTAATTCAAGTTATCCAGTTTTCACAAAGATGCTCTTTCTCTTAACGTGGCTGCAACCTGAAATCCTTCTGCCCCAGGCAGCTGGGCCAGCAGGGTGAGGAGCAGCCAGGACTGCAATCCCCTCCAAGTGAAGGGAAGGAGAACTGCTCCATTACCTGTCTGGGTTTGAAGTCTCAACTCATTTAAGCTGAACAAAACCTATTTCAATTGCCTGCCAAGCCTCAAGGACCTCACTTTCCTGTGACCTCAGCCAGAGATAAAACAAAGGAATGAATTTCATGTGTTGCACAGGAGATTAGGGGATGGTGCCAACTGTTGGGAAGGAGAGGAAATCATCAGCTACACATTCAGCAAACATCAAAACATTGTTCTTCATCACTGCAACACAAGTATCAGCCCAGCATTGCCAATAAGGCACCTCAGATGACAAGTATTTTAGATCATCATTTAAAAAAAACAACACAATATTAAATCACACACAGAAAACCCACCCCAACACACTTTGTTTCGGGGTGCATAGAACTTCTAGTCAGAAGACTCTTGTTAGGGCTTGTCAGCCCTCCTCAACTGCTACACATCTCTGCAAAGTCAGTGAGCTCTTCTGTGTGCTTGTGCACCCCTCACATGTTGCACCTTCTTCTCCTCCAGATGACATGGAGATCCTGTGCACAAAATCCTCTTTTTGAAGCAGCACAGACATCAAGAAAGACACCCACCTGCACTTAGAGGAAAGCCAGTAAGATTTGAACCCTCTGGCTCCACTTGTAAAAAAATCTTCTCTGAAGCACTGGCTTGCTTCACTAAAATCCAAACATGCCCAACAAGTTGGGCTTCAGGTCACCCAGAGAAATATCCTGCTCTGCTATCCTGTCTCCAAACATTTTCTAATAACATTGGGCTGGATTCCACTTTTCACCCCTCCCTGTGTGGTGGCAGGACACAGCCAACTTGCCCTGCATTTCCAAGGAGCAACAAGATCCATGTTAGGAGCACTGATGGATGAGCATGCACCACCTGCCTTTCAAAGGACATTACACACTGCTGCTCTAATCAATAATGTATTATTTCCTCTATGCTTTATATCCTCATGTTTATTGTGTGTAAATAGGGATTTACAGTGATCTGAGTGTGTTCATTTAATGTAGCTGACACCCTGCATATGAGATCTGCCAGCTGCCCTCTCAGGACTTTCAGGAAAATGAAACAATGCTTCTTGCACAAAGCCATCTTTGTGAGAGAAATGAGGAATGAAGGGGGGGGGGGGGGGGGGGGGGAAAAAAAAAAAAAAAAAAAAAAAGGTATATCTATCTTCTGTTTTGACATGTGCATCAGGGGGGGGGGGGGGGGAGGAAGAAAGAATAGAATGAAACAAGGCCAAGGTAGAGAGATCAGAGAGAAGCCGTGTGCATGGAACAGAAAACAGAACAAGAATGTCAGCACTGGGATCCAGAGTCACGCCAGCAGTACTGTGAAAGAAATGTTAAATATTACTCTCATCTCAAGTCCAAGGTGCTGCTTGTGGGAGGAATATGTTGGAGTGGGGGAAGAAACTTTTCCTTGAAAGGCATTGGCACACCTATGCAAAGTTCCTTCCTATTTGATCTTCAGCACAAAGAGCAGAACAGAAGCATATCATCCTTTGCAGCTAAAATGAAAAAAATCAAGAAGACTTTTATCCCAGATCCATTTATTTTTGGAAATAAATTCCGCTTCTGCCTGCAGCCAGTCAGTATTTTCCAGGTGGGTAGCTTTTCTGCTGGAAAACTGAACAAAGCAATCAAAATAATTTGCTAATTCATTTCATGCTTTTTATTTTTGAAGTCTAAACTGCGAGTTAAAACAAATCTGAGTGGCCTGGTGTGTTACGTCAACATTTTGTTCAACAAATATCAAAGC